GGGAGATTTTTTTTTGGGGGGGGCGGATATTATGTCGGCTCTTGAGGCTTTGTTTGTTTAGGTCTTCTTTTTACTGGAAATGCCGCTTTCTGAATGGACTGGCTCCAGTCCCGCCCTCCAAGTTCTTCAGGGGGCGGGGGCGGTCCCCAGAGCTCCCACTGGGGCCGCGGGCGAAAGTTTTATGATGCCAGTAATTCCTCAGTAGTGTGATTTTTCAGAAAAGCGAGCTTGGGAGATTGTTGCACTAGGTCTTATGATAGTTCGAAGGCTGTGGGTTTGCTGCACAAAAGTTTCCTTCGTGAGATCCCCCTCCCTTCTCACTGGAGCCCTTCGTACCTGTGGCGTCTGGTTGCAGCCTGGAACCGGAAGCCTTCTGTGTGGAACATTTAGATGCACCTCAATATCATACTCCTAAATTCTCCTTCAGACAATGCCAGAGCCTCTTCACCCTCTAATATCATTCCTGGCTCTTCCTCTTGGTTATGTGTCCAAGCTACTCTATCTTGCTTCTGCACATGAACAGAAATTTTGTGCTGCTTTTTAGGCATCGTGGTGCTGTTGTATTTTGGCATTTAGATGGATGTGTGATGATGTATTCTTAAGCACAGTACAAATTGTCTCCTACTGGGTGTGGTCAGGAGATGGGTTTCTCTGTTCACTGCCTTTGGTGGTTCCCTTTAGAGTGTTTAACAGGTATTGGCTGTATGTGCTGTTCTGCTATATAGCAGTTGATATTGGCTCTTGCCTTTTTGTTGGGGTTTTACAAGGTGCAGATGTAGCTTGGCTGTATGGCTGGAGGTGCTGTCTCTTGTTAGGTGAGGCACAAATAGAAACTCCCACAAATGTAGGAGGAAGGCCAAATTCGGGACTAAATCCCAAAGTTAAACGTCATAAAACTCCACCAAAGATATTTATATAAAGTTATGAAACCCAATATAATAAGCAATAACCTAATTAAAAAACAAAAACAAAAAAACAAACCAGGAAAACATAAGTAATTGCTTGGCGCCACCTAATGGACAGGGAAAAAAAGTATTCTAGTCGCCAAAGCTGACTGAGACGTCCAGGTGTTTCCTGTTTGCACCCTGGGAAACTCAGGGAGTCAATGCTAATCATTCCGCACATTGCAAACCTTATGCGCACAACACTGGACCTTTCCTGGGGATGCACTCCTACCTGTGTAGAGGTGCCCAGACTGGACTGAGAAGGAATGAAAAGGGAAAGTGAAAAAAAGGTTGAAGGATAGAAAGAGAAAAGACGCTCGCACCTCTATTTCCGTAGATTGCTGGGTGGTTTCTGTACTGGGCACAAACTTGTTGCTGTCCACCTCTTCTGTCTTCTGCAGAGACTGCAGCCTACCTACTGTCCCAGTTCAGAAGTCACTCTCTTTATTGCTGCTACTTCAAATTTTTTCCACCAGTAAGCATCTGAATCACTTCTTCATCACTGTATATGAAGTTCAGCATGAATCTTAGACTCTCTTCAGATTGTTT